TCTAAGTCAAATCTAAATGAGCAATTTCTAGTAACACATTTCTTTTATATGTGTGCTTAAACAGGGACATAACAGATCTTTTTTTTTTTTTTTTTGGTAAGATTGCCCTATTAAATGTAACTAAAATATATAGTGTGGACAAAAACAAGTAATACTTTGTGATTTAAACACAAGAAAAGGAAAACTGCCTGAAATTGGTAAGAACCAACAGTGTTTTTAATATTTTCCTTTTCATTAAAAACCAGCAAATATCCTTTGATTCTTACACCCTCAACTTGAAATCTATGAGAACGCAGTGAACACAAACAACAAACACGCATTCATTTATAACCAGTGACAACCAAAACCGACGAAGTTTTTAAAAGAACGTGACTGTTGTCGGAAGGAATCCGGCCCCACCGCGCAGTGTTCAGCTCTGGTTGCACTCAAAGCCATGGCCGAGGGGCGCGCTGCTCGGAGCCTGGTGGGCACAGACCAGCAACACAGTGAATTCTCATGCTGCACAGATCACCGCCCAGCTCAGGGCAGTCAGATTGCATCTGGGATCAACCAGCTGTGCTCCACGAAACCGTCAGCCCTCATTTGTGTCTAGCTGTTGTCTTCTGTCTGGGAGTAAACAAGGGTTGTCTCCCTCCCTTCCAGTGCGCGGGAAGACCACACGGTGGGACCCTGACAGCGGCCTCAGAGTTCAAGTTCAAGTTACTTCTTCCAGACAGCAGTTCCAGTGCACACTGGGAAGTCACAGAGAAGCAACTTTGGAATGACAGAGTTAGGATCCCTTCTCAGAAACATACATTAGATTCCTCCACATACTGGCATGATGTAAATGTAGGTGTTCCTAGCATGAACCGGTTTTTTCCGCAGACTAGCTCAACAGATTCATCACATTGGCCAGGAAGGGGTGGTGGTGATTGCTTTTGTTGTTTCACTGCTCTGGGGTCTTCGCTTGAATCAGCCAAAAAAAACAAAAAAACAAAAGACATGGATAGAAACACTGTCAGTCTGGTCCACCTCCAGGAACCCGATCATGCCTGAATCGCTGGGAGGAGTGTAATGATGCTAAACAGAAACAGGTATGTTGGCTTCTGTTGCCATCCACTTCCGCCCTAGTGTCGCCTTTACAATAAAGCCAAATAATGTTGAAGGAACATCATTTCAATAATAAAAGGGAGGAGTGTTATTGAAGTGGTTTCTTTGGCAAGTGGCATAAAGATAAGATTTAGTATTTGCTGCATTGACATCTCCTAGCCAGCTGGTGTGTCCCTGTTAAGACTGCATTTAGGCAGCTTGAGTGGGAACCTTTTTTGTTCTCCCAGTCTATTACGTTGTCGATTTAGGGGATAACAGCCAAAGTGAAACAGCTTGCAATTTGCACCTGTCTGCTCTAAGCATCCTGTGTTAGATTACGTGGAGAGCAAACTCTTTACTGCTAATGAGAATAAGACTGGGTAGGGCTGAATTCAGTTTTGTTGAGGGGCTTTATAGGGTATTATAGTGAGTGTTTTTCTTTTGTAAATGATCTCAGAGGGACCTCCCTATGCTCATGTTTTAGAATCCTTAGAGTTAAAGAATAAAATTTCTAAAAATTGTAGTTAAAGTTGCTCATTCTTTAAAGCAAAGTTTAAATGTCATGTAAAAATTGAATTAATATTAAGCCCAAGTTGCTACAGATGAGAAAGAAAAATGTAAATGCTAAGTTATTTCCAATTTGATGTAAGTGTAAAATACCTTACAGACCTTCAGTGTGTAAAACTGGCATACATATCGCGCGCGTGCACACACACACACACAATTTTGGACATGTTTCAGAAACTTGACTAGTTTTGGAAATGATGTCAAGTGCCTGAAAGTAAACCAAGGTTCTCTGCTTATACTGCTTTTGAAAATTTAATTAACTGAATCGAAATAAAATTTCAAGTAGGTGACTTCAAAATCATACATAGTTATAGATACATTACTCATCATCGTGTGAATCACAGAATAAATTGTCCACAAATGCAAAAACATCAGCACATATGATCCTCTCCCACCTTTCCTAGAATTTCTCGGTATACCCCTTAGCTTTCATTCCTTTGAGGGAATATGTCAGTGGGCTATTATCTATTTTTAAAGAATTTAAATTAAACTCATTGAGATGCAAAACTTTAATTATGGCTTATAGCATTTCCCAAACCTTATGCATTTTTTAAAAATCATAGTAACAATGTTTGGATAATTTTGCAAAATGTCCCTGAAGGTATCCAACATTTAGTAAAATATCTGTTAATCAAAAGTATCCATGCTACATTTGGCTTCCAAAAATTTCTCACACTGGCACTTCCTGCTGAAATAATAATGATATGCTGACGGGTTAAATGAAGTTGAGGTGGTCGCAACGTGGTCTCACTAGTAATTACTGGAGTTTAATATGGTTGTTGGCCCACATCTCGCCTGACAGATAACGTTCCAGCTTGTCAGTGATGAACCCTTTCAGCACAGCTTTCGGAGTTCTGCCAGCCATCGCCGAGTCTGGTTAGGTCAAAGGGTTGAGCCATGTGTAATTCAGAACAGAGGAGGTCCCACGGTCACTCCACAAAAACAATCACACTACTTATTTCACTCTAGCCCTTGCCCAAAACTCACAAGCCTCACAGATTCAGTGCAGTCGATCTAATGCTGCCCCTAGGCAATAAGCCACGTGAAAATATGTGGTGCTGTGTTTATAAATCTACTCAAAAATAGAAACAGCAGACAGGCACAATGAGGTCCTACTATGGATCCTGGGAATCCTTGGAAATTCTGAAGGCACTTTTGTTTAAGTTCTGTGGACTCTCTTTTACTAGGACATTGTCTGTCATACTCGTTAATCATCCCCTTTACCCGTGAGTGCTACAAAGGAGGCTAAATTTCTGCTCACTTTTATACTTTCTCTCCGTGGATAATATTATGAAAAATAAAAGCTTAAAAGGCTGCTTTTAAAAGAAAAGAAGGCATAGAGGGGACTACTATAATATTAACCTTACCTTTCTATCCATGTTCTCAGCTCCTTGCCCTTGGCAATGCACAGATTTAAATCAAGCTCCTCTAAAAAAGAAAAAATAATACTTGAAAACTAGAATAAATTGGCCCAACCATAAGACATATATTAAGCAATTTGGTGTTGAAGAGCTAGTTGTTACGATGCTATTTTATGGTCCCCCCCCCCCCCAAAAAAAATCTAAGCATAGAGTCAGCAGGATTTGATTTGATATGTTGTTTTTATTATTGTTGTTCCTGTTTGTTTTAGCCAGACACCAAATAAACTGAGAGTCAGTGAATATTCACAATGTTTTAGAAGGGTAATCTCTAGGAAAACCTCAGACTTGATTTCAATAGCCTAAACTTTGTTTCTATGCCAAAATGGTGATCAATTAGAAAGCATTAAGTTATGATGAAAACTTGCTGTTGCGTGTTTTAGGTAAGTATACTATATCTATCTTTTAAAAAATTAGGATCCAGTTTTGCAATGGTCACAAATAGATACCGGGTACAGTCAGTGATAAACATGTACTTTAGGACCAAGCAAATTAAATGCTGAGAATTTTATCCAGCAAAGATAGAATACACAAATTTTAACAATAGAAAATGTGTTTTCAGCACTCTTTAAATTCCTTCGAGTCATGCAATAAATTATCTAGTTCAATCTGCAAGCTATTTTGTTTGATATTATTTCAATTGATAAACATACTTCACTAGAATACAGTCTAAGGGCAGATGATTATAATAAATGGGAAAGTTTTAAAAAGCGACAGTACCAGTATTTATTAGATTATTATAAACATACACCAAAGGAGCTTTTAATTTTAAACTTGGAATTTGCGCTTTTGAAGTGGTTATCAGTATTTGGCAGTAAAACAAAGTACCTCATGCATGAATGATACTTGTGAAACTTTTTTTTATTCAGAACTATCAATCATAGTTTTTAAAAGTCATTTCACAAAATGCACATGAGCCTCATGTGGCTACCAATGTTGAAAGAAGAAAGATTTTAGTCTTTTTAGTGTTAATTTTAAAACTTTTAATTTTTTTGTAAGAGTAATATAAAAGATTCAAAAGTTACATTAATTACTTCCTAAAAATAAGGGAAATACATATAATATTATTTAAAAGAAAAAATCAACATAAAAGTGAGAAAATGATAGCCAATTAGAAATTGAAGTTTCACTTGCTTGTTTTTTCCATGGCCGTTGACTGAAGACTAATTCAAAAGTATATATTTCTGAGAATGTTTGTGCAGTGAAAATCTCTTTTCTTTTGTTTCCTTGAATTTGTTATTAATCTAATAGTTGATATTTGTCTTTAAGATTCTTGCAATTTGTAAAATTGCTCATGTTATCATCATCATAAGTTTATTTTGCAGACATATAATCCAACTGTACAAGCCAAAAAGCACAGGGTGCCTCTATTAACATAATATAATGCTCAGAAAACTTTCAGTAAGGCAGTCTACCTCCCTCCCTCCACAGAAGACTGCACTTTAAGTATCTTTCTGCACAAATATTCAGAATGTAGTAAGACTCAGTGCAATCATGAAATGACATCCAAATGCCTTTATTATCTCATGTAAAATATGTAGTTGAATCATAAAAGTAGTTTGCTAGAACCAACTGGTACATTGTTTAAAAAGCAGCTATGACTAGAGGAGAAGCAACACTGTATCCTCCCTTGTCTCATGAGCAAGGGTGTGGCCTAGGGTCCCTCGCTGTTTGGAAATCACTAGGAGCTGGGATCAGGCACTATTTGCAATAAAGAATATCAACCAAGTTTCTATGAGCTGGAATTTGGTGTTTGTAGTCAGATCCCTCACAATTGGGATGCAACCTGCAGAACAGAGATGATAAGAAAAATAATTTTAAAAAAATTAACCTACCTTGAGCCAGAGAAATATCAGGAAACGTGCCCTGGCTGTAAAGTATGAAAGACATGGGCAAGGTGTCTCTCTGTCCTAAATATTAATACATGAATGCTTGTCCCCCATTGCAATTGCTGGGAATTTAATACAAAGACTTCAAAAGTGGGAAGAATTGTTAACATATAAAAAAAGAAAAAAATCTGTTACGAGCTATGGAAGCAGAGTGGCTAGAGAAAACAGGTGTGATGTGAGTTCCAGAAGCCAGATATGCCAAATCAGAGAGAAGGATGTACAGGCATCAGAGTGAACTTGGAAGAATGTGCAGGATTAGAATTCAAATAGGAAAATTTTCACTGTCACAGAATGAGTAGGCTCTGTCAGCAAATAACTTCAGTAAGTTAATGATTAATGAGCAGCTACCACACAACCTAAAAACACCTATCACTTGTGTAACTGGCAAAATATGGAGCCAATCAGAGAACTGATGTATTTGCTTGACTATTTCTGTATCCTCCATTGCCGAGAAAGTCCAAAGTAGCTTCCTTTTCAAAAGAAAAGTAAAATAACAGTTTCAAAGCTATCAATTTACAAAATACCTTGGATTGAGCCATTCAGGAACACTGGACTTAATGAACTGATGGCACCATTACAAAACTCTCTCTATGGCTGAAAAGGTAGACCATTATGTAGCATGTTTGTTGAAATGGAAGTGGCCTACAATAGGAATCACGTTTTAAAAGCCAGTCTTAAACTTGCAAGCAGGTTGATAACGGCAATATAGCCTGCCTGCAGGTAACCTGTTGATCACATTCTATTGAACCCAGGTTAATAATCACCCACTAATGTGTTTAGTCCTTCTTTTTGGTCGGTTTGTTTTAAGGCTGATTTTCAGTGCTTTCGCTGAAATTGTCGCTGCTGTATTGCAAATTAAATTCGGGAACTGCCAAATCTCTGACAACTGGTTCATTGCTTCCAGAGGAGGGAATTAACATGACTGCAGCTGTCATTCCACTGCGTTTTTCTTCTCAAGCACACCAGCAAGGACGGACAGAGATGGTGTTAGACAGAGGTCTCAAGCCAGATTCTGCCTGCAAATATGTTTTGTTTGACCGTCACCGTGATTTAAAACACGTTGAGCCAGTATTTTAAAATAAAAAAAATTACAGTACAGATACAATGTCTGGCTTCCCTTAGAAAAATTTTAAATTTGGCAACATAAGGTCAATATCCATGGTGAGCAACAACTGGCTGGAGGTGGGGGTGGCAGCATACTCATTAGGCAGTGCTCTCCAGGTCTACAGTTCCCATGCCCCTGACTGCAGACCACAAACAAAAATGTAAGCTCCTTAAGGACAGGGCTTGCTTACTTCATCGCTGCATCCTCAGAACCTAGAACACATCCTGGCAAGTTGTGGGTGCTTGAAAAATATTCAGTGTTGAATGAAATGATCTCATGGGCAAACAGCTAACTTTAGCAGGTGCTTTAAGACAATAGGCAGGTCTGAGGAACTGTTACAATACTACCTCAATTTTTTTAAAATTCACTGCAGGTCAAATAAATTTTGTCAGTCCTCAGGCAGAGAGAAAGAGAGTTCTCAAATTATTTGTATTACTGTTTTTCTTATTGACAAATATTTTTCTGTATCCTTTCCACTATTAAAAGTAGGGCCACAAGCATCAAGGAAAATGTGGGTAAACAAAGACCCAGCATACTTCACTCATTTGTGTTTCTTGCTTGGCCCCAGGAGGCATCTGAATTTGAAACCTCTGGGAGAGAGATGGGAGTAGGCCTGACGCTCACAATAACAAACTGCTCTGCCATAGTCCTCCCTCACCTTGCCCAGTAGTATTCTGCACTAGACTCTAAATCTATATTACAAAATTATAAAAAGAGGAAGATAAAACTTAAAATGGAAAGTTACTAGTTAAACATAACACACTATCACCCTACCTGAAGAGTCAGATTAACAGTGTGGAATGAACTTGTATTTCCATCTGGAAAGCCATTGGTTCTGATCTCTTGTACATGGAGCAGTTGCTTAACCTAAGTTTCCAATTCCTCTGCATGATAGTTGAAAAGATTAAAAATTATGTATGTCAGACTTCCAGCTTCCACTTAAAGTACAGAAAGGTGGAAAGGGGGTTGTTCCAAAACATAAAGCAAAAAAAAATATTCTGAATATCTGCAAATTCACAACCTTTATAAAACACAAGAGAGCTGAAGTCACAGTGTAACCAACTAACCTAAAACCTAGGGAAAAAACAAGTGCCTCCAAGGAGTGACAGTATGCAGGCATTTTGCTTACTGGAGCAAACATGAGATCTCTTATAAGCCAGTAAGAAGAGTTCAGATAAAAATTGTTACCAAATAGGACTTTCAGTCAAGATGGCAGCATATATAAACACAGTACTCACCTCTTCCCATAACCACATCAAAGTTGCAACTGAACTACAGAACCATCATTCAAAACCACCTGAAATCAAGCTGAATGGAAGTCCTACAACTACGAAATTAAAGAAGCCACATCAAGACTGATAGGAGGGGCAGAGGTGCGGAGGGGCTGGTCCCACACCCACGTGTGGTGAATAAAATTAGGAGGACACCTCAGCTGGGAAGGTCCTCCCTGAGG